ACACAAAAGGTGTCCTGTTTGACATGCACATAAACTCAGTACTGAAATATATTGTTTTGACATGATTTAAAAAATAATAATGGCCAAATCTTATCATAAATTCTAAGTTATACAAAAAGCTGTTGTTTTACAGGTAAGACATTTGTTCCATCTGTTTCACTGTCATCTGTTTTAGCTCCCAATAACTCTCCAGGGTTTTGGACATGTGTCTTTCTCAACTCTACCTGGAGATGGGGAAAATGCTGGACACAAAACAAATGTTCTACCACTTCTATATGGTCTAGTTTGCATATGTATTATACAGTTCTATTAAAAATATCTGAGTCAGGAACTCTAATACATTCTAAGAAGGAGACATGGAGAAAGAAAGTGCTTGAAAGTGCTCTTGTTGCCACTTGAAAGATTTTACTGCTGCATTTACAACCAGCTCTGGTAAAAAATATTTAATGGACCATCTGCCATTTTTTCAGTCTCTCTCTCTTTCTCTCTCTCTCTCTCTATATATATATGTGTGTGTGTGTGTTGTTGTTGTTGTTGTTGTTGTGTGCCTTCAAGTCATTTCCAACTTATGGTGAACCTAAGGCGACCCTACCATAGGGTTTTCTTGGCATTTCTTCAGAAGAGGTTTCCTATTGCCAGCCTCTGGGGCTGAGAGAGTGTAACTTGCCCAGGGTCACCTAGTGGTTTCATGGCTGAGATGGGGAGTCAAACTCTGTTCTCCAGAACCATAGTTGAATGCTCAAACGACTACACCACTCTGGCTCTCATATATATGGGGGGGATGTTTTAGTTACTTTGGAAATTTTGATGTACGAGCGATTCATCACATTTCAAGTTAATGGATTAATAAGCCAATACTACCATAACATTTTAAAATTAATTTTACATTATTCCTATTTTATGAACCCTTAAAAATAGGAAATTGATCAAAGTGTCTTTGGAAAATCACTAAAACAATCCTTAACAAGAACATTTTGGAAATATTGTAGCTCAACACACCCCAGAAATGTTTTAATGTTAATGTTATAATGGTTGCAAAAAAACAAACACTTTGTCTCCCCAAAAATAATTTGTCAGGAGTAACATTGTTACTTGTATAACAATTTACTTCAAAACTCTGGACTCAACCCCTATGATCTCAAATTCAACTGCACACCATTGCCATAATCCCGCAGGGAGAGGCGGGATATATAAATAAACCATATTATTATTATTATTATCTCAGAGTAGAAAACGTAAGTTTTCCTTTTTCTCAAAATATTCTCAAACGTACTACTGCTTCCACAGCAATCTGTTCTGGTTTTGCATTTTAAAAAAATTCAAGTCACCACAGTGAAACCTTTGAATATCTGCTTTACTGCCAATACGCAGCCAAGGTTACCAGGACTTCCCAAACTCCCTTAAGGCTTTGCCATTTCACTCAGAATGCAAATGCTTGCATAAAAATGCAAGGTATCTACATACCCATATTTTCTTATCTGAAATAACACAATTCTACTTTAGTACTGCAACAAATTCAACAGAAAATCAATTATTCTGAAGCAACTTGTAATTAGGGATAAGGGAAATTAACTGGGGGTCAGGGAGTAATTTAGGTTTTAAAGACCTTAGAGCAGCAATAGAAGAGAAGGAGGAAAACTACAATTAAATATTAATCAATGTCGGCTAGAAATCTAAGTTTTTCTATTAACTATTTGAATTTTTAACTGTTCCAAGTAACATTGTGGAAGCAATTACACTGGATAAACCCCCTGGATAAATATGTAATAGCTTGTGCTCTATTTTACTTCTTCGGGAACACAAACCATAGCCAATAAAAATTGCAGAGTTGTCCCAATTTTCTTTTTGGGTGTGACTGAACTTTATTCTGCTCTCTTTTTAGTACCACCTCTTTTAGAGGGGATTGCTAGGGATGGCTTTGTGGGGAGACCGGGGTAAGTGTCCCATCCAAAAAAGGAGCTCACTCCCCTTCCATTTCTGGACCCCTGTCATTATTTGGAGGAAGAGCACTTTTCAAGGACAGAAAAGCATTCATGTTATTAGCAAGTATAAGATAAACAAAATACAGCCTGTGTGAGGCTTCCGCCCCCCTTTTACAGCTTCTAAGTTTATTTAACAACTGACCCTCCAGGTTGCCACCAATACAGGATGTACTGTTCCCTCTTGAAATGTACTTTGGCCCTTCCATACCTCCTTTCTGGAAAAATAATAATAATCTGGTGTCTTCATTGGTGATGGCAGAAAAGGCAAGGCTAGTTTAATAATAAAAAACCTCCCACCAAGATCACCAAACGCAATCAGCCAAAAAAACAGATTATAGAAAACTGACAAGGCAGAATGTTTTTCTTCAAGCCCTCATTCACATAGATCAGTAAATCATCATGATGAGTCCAAATTTCTGACAGTGATTAAATCTATACACATTTTGCCTATTAACTGCAACAATATGGCTATGTAGGTGTGCACACAGACAAGACTTACTGCAAAGGCACCTACCTTCTAGTCCTTCTTGAGGAAGGATATATCTAATATTTTACCACAACTGATTCAGACATAAGCAGGAGATTCACTAAACAGATTCAATAAACAGAATTCCTCTGGATTTAATTTTAACCCACCTCACGATGGGCATTGGCCTGAATCCTATTGAGATTTGATGTATGATAAAGTCCCTGTACTGAAATAGTGGGACAATTATGTCTGAAGCATTGCATGTGCATTTAGTCCAGGGCTGTGGAAATGAAGTTGCACATGTGGTGCCACTCTGTATGTAAATATACATAGGTCCCACATACGAGATATGTATAGGCCCACATGTGCATAAGATGTACATTTGGCTGTGAAACTGGTTGCACATTCAGGTATGCATTCAGTTTTTCAATGCTGTCATTCAATACAAGAGCTGTGTAACACAATCAACACACAACTCTACTTGTAGAAGTTTATTCTGTGCAAGCCTGATGTAGGATCTTGTCCACTGTGATTCTCCACAGGGCTGAGGATCTGTTTCTCACCAACAGCAAACTGCCCAACAATATTTGAATCCTGGGATCCCCATTTGCCACACTCTTTCAGTAGTACAGTCTTTGCCCACACAGTTACAAAAGCAAGTGCCTTGTCCTTAAGCCACTAATCTTGCACTGTATTATATGTTTAGCACAGTACAAGTATTTTAAATATTCCCTCAATAGAATAAACAGTAATAGAACCCCCCAAAATGCTAAAAGACAACAGTCACAATATTTTGAGGCTGGAGAACTCTAAAGACCAGAAGATGAATACAAAAGTTCTCAGATAATTTTAGCAAGGTCAGGCCTCAGTTTGCACAGGGATATATAATACAGGTACAGATTCAAATGATACCTCAGTCCTAAATACCTGTGGCCTCATACTTTGCATGTCATGAAAGAGCAACAACCTGTAATTATTCAATGTATTATTACTGTATTTTTACTGCCAGATAGGGAGATTGCTGCTTGTGATTGCTGCCTCAGATGCTAAAATAAGCTGACCAGCCTCAGATACTGTATGTTATGACACAGTTTGTAGACAGAGCAGGAATTCCTGTTCTACCACAGGTAGCAAACTATCTTTCTTGAGGCTTCCTAAAGTCATCTTACTCTAGACCTGGGCTGGTTGTAAATACCACCAACATGACTTCTGTCTTTACTTTGTTCTCATTAACACTGAATCACTGGGGTTCTGAAAACTTCCACAAACTTAACAACAAAATACACATGTGTGGAAACCCACAGTATAGAAGGAGAAGGGACAATATGAAACAGAGAAGCGGGCATGAGGAAAAAAAAGTTATGCACACCTACTTGCATAGCTTCTCTGGATTTTACCTTTCCCCATTGCTTTTTCACCCATGAATATGTATTCAATATGAGGCTGGGGACATGTTTTTACAAATGTTAAATTACGGTTTACATAGCAAACCTGCAAGTAGGACATTAACGTTATTTTAAGGTACAGTCCTTATTATAATTTTTGGTATGTGCAGATAAGAAATGATTATGAGAATCTCTGATAGGTCTTCACTGCTGTTTCTCATGCTAAGCATTGTCACAAGATGTTTCCTGCATAAGATAGTTATTTCTCTTATCTGTTTGCATGGTAAATAGACCTAGCTAATTAATTTCTAAATACATTCAACAACAACAATAAAAATAAATATGCCTTTTCATTCAGTGGTATGAACTCCAGGAATTTAAAATGGACCATGGGAAATAATTCTAAGACAGGTCTAAGTTTTGGTCAAAATCTCATACATATTTTAAAATAGGCTGTTCTCTGTAGTGCAGGATAAAACTGAGACTTCAAGGTGCCATGCATGTACAGGTTAACAATTTTTTATCTTTACTGATAACATAATCAGACCTTTGTAGTGCAGACTAATGCAACGTGCATTTTGCAGATGTTTGTCAAGGCTGATTTTCCATTACAGAAAAGTCTAAATCCCAGCAGGTACCATTGAGTTTCAAAACAATAAGACTGAGATAACCTGAGAAAATGGGTAAAACCCACTAACAGAAACAATAAAGTTCTGACACAAACACTACAACACAAATCTGTTTTTACTTTTTAAAAAATTTGAATAATTAGAGTGAGATAATTATCTTGAAAGCTACAACGTATCTTATTTTGGATTATTTTATTACTTACTACCTCTCAAATCTACTGTTTCTAATGTGGTGCTTTCTTAGCAAGAGACACAGCTTTATAATATGTCCCTATTTAATCATGAATTCACAAGTAGATTTATTTGAAAGTTTTGTAATTAAATCATCTTAGTAAAACTGGCTTTTCATCTGACATATTTAACCAGCACTTTCCAAAATGTTCTTTACTATGAAACATGGTGTTTTTTTTAAAAAAATTAAATAAATAATAACCACCAGTAATAATCTCCAGCAATGTGGTGCTGAAAAAGAGTGCTATAGAATCAATGGACTGGGAAAAAGGACATATAAATGGGGGCTAGAGCATATGAGAAAGCCAGTGTGGCCTAGCGGTTTGCATGTTGGACTACAGCTCTGGAAATCAAGGTTCAATTCCCTGCTTAGCCATAACACCCACTAGGTGACCTTGGGCAAGTCACATGCTCTCAGCCTCAAAGGCAATGGCAAACCTCCTATGAACAACTCTTGCCAAGAAAACCCCATGATAGGTTCACCTTAGGGTCAGAGTAAGTTGGAAAGGACTTGAAGGCACACAACAGCAACAAGAACATATGAAGCCTAACTCTTTCTAGAAACCAAACCGAGGCTGTTGTACCATGGACACATGATAAGACGCTCACTGCAAAAGTCATGAATGCTGGAGAACTGGAAGTCAGTAGGAAAAGAGGACAAACATGATATAAGTGGATTCCTCAATAAAGGTAGCCACAGCCCTGAGCTTGCAAGTCCTGGGCAGGGTTGTTGATGACTGACTGGGGCTATGGGAGGTCTCTTACTCATAACAAAATTAAAATGAAAGGATGTTGTAGAGGTGGATTTTTACAGTGCATGGGGAGCGGCCAACTTTAACCTACTATGGAACTAGGTCATATGAAGCCCAAAGTATTAGTGCTATCAGGGCAGGATTTTGAGGCAGCCATCTCAGGCCCCCAACTCCAAACTACACATGAGGGGAAGTGTTCCCAAAGGCAACAGGCTGGTGGTGGTCCATGCTTGGAGGAAAGGAACCAGCAATGCACATTGTTGCAGGCAGAGGGGTTCTGTGGGACCACTAACTTCAGAATATAAAATTAAGCTCACCATATCAGGGACCCAGTGCAGTGCAGTGGCTTAAGTGTTGGACTATCGAGACTCTGGAGACCAGGGTTTGAATCCTCACTCTGCCATGGATGGAAACCCAATGGGCACACACTTTCTCAGCCTCCAAGGAATGCAAAAGCAAACCCCCCTCTGAACCAACATACTGTCAAGAAAAGGCTCATCATTTGGCAGAAACATGCGAGTTGATGCAGGCGAGGGCTGGACAGCAGCTAGAGGTACCTACTGCCGTCCGTGCCCAGCGTGCCACCGTGGCTGGGCTTTGACTCTGGAGACCAGGGTTCGAATCCCGGCTCATCCATACAAACCCTTGGGCAACTGAACGCTCTCTCAGCCTCAGAGGATGCCAATCATGACAAA